TCTCTCTAAAATTGATCTATACTAATAAAAGGATAATATGCTAATTAGACCAGGTTGACCAGACATCTTTTGGATGTCCGACTTCCTTCTGAACAAAGCCACAGTGGTGGGAGCCTAGGCAGAGGCAGTTAGGGGGCTGACAGGGGAGTAAGCAGTTAAGGGCCGGTGTGGGGAAGCAAGCAGTTAGGGGCAAGATCAGGCTGGCAGGAGAGGGAAGTTGGGGTGATCAGGCAGGCAGGCAGAGTGGTTAGGGGCAATCAGGCAGGTAGGCGAGCCATTAGGAGCCAGCCATCCTGGATTGTGAGAGGGATGACTGGCAGTTGGACATCCTCCAAAAGGTCCCAGATTGTGAGAGGGTGCAGGCCGAGCTGAGGGACAACCCCCCTCCACTGTGCGCGACTTTCATGCACTGGGCCTCTAGTTTAAAAATAAAAGAAATGAAGGACTTGTAAAATTTCTATTACAGTTCCTATCTGAGGTGATATTCTAGTGAAAAGAGAAAGTAAATTCAAGGAAAAATTATGAAGAAGTAGCAGTGAGACCTATACAATAAAGAGGGTGAATGTTACAAAATGTAAGTTATACCTCACTGTGCTTAACTGAAGGAAGAACAAGAGGAGGAGAAGGAGGAGGAGGAGGAGGAGGAGGAGGAGGAGGAGGAGGAGGAGAAGATGACAGTATTATAGTCAGGATCAAACAAGAAAACCTGTTATCATTCCTGTTACTCAGCATCTATCTGGAGATCCTGTGCAACGCAATTTAAAAATATATAGTCTATTAATATGAAAAGCTCTCCACGATCGACTATGAACTGAAAAGTGAAAATTAAGTGGCAGCAATAACACTTGATATGATCTATCTCTATAGAGATACCCTCCACATTGATAAAGTCTGCAGTGAGGTCTATGATGGAAAGAAGTAGATAAGGGAGACTTTGGTTTTCTTTGTGCTTTTTTGTATTCAAGAAATAAGGGGATTATGTGTTCACCAATGTTCATAGAAGCATTATTCACAACTTAGAGGCTCGATGCACAAAGATTAATGCAAGAATGGGCCTTCCTTCTCCTGGCTGCCTGCAACACTTTCGCTCCAGCCAGAGCCACCTTTTTGCTCTGGCCCGGAGCCGCCTTTCTGCTTTCCCACGCTGCCAAGAGGCCCGAAGCAGCTGGCGTGGTGCAGAATGCCTGCACCGTCTCGAGGACACAAGGTCCTGCTCTACCCCCAGCTGCTCAGCACCTGTGTATGCAAATTAACTCACCATCTTTGTTGGGTTAATTTGCATAGTCACTCCTGATTGGCTGGTGGGTGCCGTGAGTGTACAGTCAATTTGCATCTTACTCTCTTATTAGTGTTGATAGCTAAAGGTGAAAGGAAACATGACCACCAACAGGTGACTGGGTAAACAAATTATGGAAGAAACATACAATGGGATATGATTCAGCCTTAAAAAGGAAAGAAATTCTGACACATGCTACAAGGATGAACTTCAAGGACATGATGCTAAGTGAAACAGACCAGACATAAAAAGACAAACACTGCATGATGGCATTTACATGAGGTCCCAGGGTAGTAAAATTCATAGAGCCAGATTGCAGAATGGTGGAACCAGGGGCTAGGGTGAGGGGGGAGATAGGGAATGGAGAGCTCATGTTTAATGGGTACAGGGTTTCAGTTTGGGATGATGAAAAAGTTCTGGACAGGAGTGGTTTATAGTTGCACAACTATATGAATATACTTAATGCCACTACACTGTACACTTAAAAATGTTAAAATGGTCTTATATTATGTATATTTTACCCAACTAAAAAAATGATAAATAAAAATAACGATGCATACCATTATAAAAATAGTAATAATAATAATAAATAAAATGAACTGAACTAATGCTGAAGGATTTCCTTCATTTAAAAACATATACACTGGTCAATATATTACCAAAAAATGTCAATATATAACCAAGCTCAGAATAAAGAATGGATTGTACAGAAGTGCCCAGAAACAACAAGGGAGCTACAATGCAAAGACGAAAGCAGAAGCCAGCCTGGAGGAGGCCCACGGAAAACTCAGATGGACAGAGGCTCTGGGACTAGAGACTGAAAACAGCACGGTCCACTCCACACATGAGGCCTCAGCCTGTGGGAGCTGGTGAGACACTGAAGATAGCCCCGTGCACAGCAGGGATGGTGGCAGGGCTGCTCCATCCATAAAGGCACTCAGAAACACAGCACTCCTTAGGGGGAGCAGCACGGAAACCAATCACAGACGGCGAAACAGAAAAAAAGTCACACGTGAGTGATGAAAACCCTCAGCTTCTGCCACCTGTGGGCATGGGGTCTAAATCTGTCCCACTCACCAGCATGGAGATGCGGAACTGTAAGCTGAGCATGCAAAATGTCCAAGTCTGGGGAGACACTCCGGCCTAGCAGACACACGGCCACGTTTCAGGGAAGGAAACTTGAAGGAGGCAGGAGTAGAGTTCTATCTGTGCCACCAGTTTGGGTACCAGCCTTTCCCACGGAGCGCTTGCAGGCATTCCTCTCCCCGCAAGAGCCTCGGAGCCTCTCCTGAGGCCCCCGCCTCAGCCTGCTTCATTGCATAGCTTTCCTCTCTGCTGTGAGCTCCTAAGAGAATGGCAATGCCTGTTTACTTCCCCTGCTGCTCGCCCTGGGTTGAGCCCGTCGTGGCTCCACAAATGACTGTTGAAATGAATGAAATTAATGTGTGTGTTCTGTCGTGTGGTGGGAATTCACATTAGGAGTCTCCTGGGGACTGGGGCTCAGAAGGAGCTGGAAACACGGCCGGTTCCCTCTTCCTCTCCTCCTCTTCTCTCTTGCCCTCCTGCTCCCCGTCTGTGCTGGGAGGAGACAGCAGCAATTCTCAACTCAATAAAGCACTGCCCCTCATTCGGCCTCTCTTGAGTACTGTGAAGTGTCGGTTAGCATGGTACCTGAGCACCATCTTTCACTCTTCTCCCCGCTTCCAGCATCCTCCTGGCCTGCTACTGAATGCACTTGGCAAGTATTAGCTCATTTAATCCTTGCAGCTTTTGAACTAGCCCCACTCTGCAGATGAAGAAGCTGGGGCTCAGAGGGGTGATGTGACTTTCCCTGGCCACAAAGCCACAGACCGGCAGGGCCAAGGTTCAAATCCCAGACCTCTTACATTCCTAAGCTGCAGCTGCCGCCTCTCCCACCAATCTCCCTCTGCTTCCTTCTCTCCTGCCCTCCCAGTCACACTGCCTCTCCCTCACCCACTCCTTAGCTCATACTGTGTCTGAGTCACACATTTTTGGCAGACAAGTGAGGCTGGTGGTGGGACATGGGTGACCAGATGGGTGGCGAGTACAAGTCTGGGTTTGTCTTTTTGTAGCTACCAAGCATTGTCCTGGGGAAGCACCTGGAACGCATGGCCTCTTGTGGGGCCCCCTGCAGGGTCCCCAAGGTGAAGGAAAGAGCAGACGAGGGTCCATCTGCAAATGTGTGCCTGTGAAGACCAGGAAACTAGCCCTGGACTGGCCTTGACGATCAGATTCAGAGCCTGCCTTCCTGTGAATGTGACAGTAGCCGAGGGGTTTCATGGCCTCAGTCCTATGTGGGAGGTGAAGCCCCCGACTAGAAATCAAGAGACTAGAGATCTGAGTGTGGTGCTGCCGCCAACTTGGAGGGCCTTGGGCAAGATAGAGCTTCCCTGAGCCGTGGGTTTCTTCTCTTGTCTAATGGAACTACCACCCCAGGCCTGTCCATTTCTCAGGATGGGCCCTTTGCCATGGGAGGGCTCAAAACCAAGAAGGAGGGATGGGATGAGGAAAGGAGCAGAGGCTGCAGGCAGGACAGCCAGTGCAGAGCCAGCCAGCATCAAGATGTGTTTTTTTCTCTTGAGCTGGGCCAGCGCATCTCACCAAACAGCTCCTGATAGGATGGCCTTCCCAGGCAAGCAGCGCTGACCCAGACTGTGACTGAGGCATTACAGGACCAGGAGAGGAAGAAAAGGGGAGATGGGGAAGAGGCAAAATACAAGGAGTGATATAGAGGGTGGGAGGAGGAAGAGAAAGAACTGGCCTCAGGATGACAAATACGGGGGTTACCACCTACATCTGGGATAGGTGGGATCCACCTTAATCTTGTACAGCTCCTCCGTAATCTTGTACAGCTCCTCTCTGAGCCTCAGTTTCCCCATATGTCATCTCAGATGTCATGGCCTCCTCTGCTACATCCTCCACTTGCCTTTCAAAGCCTGGCTCCATAGCTTCATTGTCAGGAACCCTTCCTTGAGCTGCCCTCTCCTGCCTCCTTCCTAACTTCCTGCCACTCACCTCTGGGCCCAACAACCTTCCACATAAGCCCGACTCCCTTAGGTCTTGACTTATACTGTGAGACACATCCCAAGCCAAGGGCCTCAGTTGAGTCACCTTTGGTCCCTCCTATAAGCACTTTACACACAGTAGATTTTTAACAAACATTCTGTTAGTGACATAATGTGGTCTAATGGACAGATGGATGGATGCCTAAAAGGATATGGCTGCTTTGTCTGCTGATTAATCTTCTGGTCAAAACTCCTCTCCATAAAAAGCCTCCTGGATTAATTCCCAGCCACAACTCGGTCTTCAACAACTCAGCCAAAACCTTAAGGCGCCCGGTCCTGCCCCGCTGCCCTGTTCCCTCACAAAGGCTTCTCCAGGTGCTACCTTACTTTACCCAACAGATTCCAGCACCACAGGCCTGGCCTGGCTGTCCAAAGAGCTTGGACCCTGCCACTTGCCCTTAGTTACCCATTCTCCTGGGGACAAAGGATACTCTGTGGAACACCCTGGAACTTGTCTGCCACAGAAAAACCCCAAAAGTCTCCATAGGGTTACTGTAGGTACCGAATTCAGGGCTCACAGGCTCAGAGAGGGGAGGTGCCCAGACAGATAGAAGGTGCCCAGACAAAGCCTAGCACTTCGACTCACCCTGCAATGTGCATATGCAAACACCCTGGTCATGAGAGAAGCAGAATCTCACCTTGAGGCTCCTCCAGTTTGCCCATGGTCTCCATCTGCTCCACCAGGTCATTCGAATTCCACTGGCTCATCCCGATGAGGATGGCATTCTTCCCCTCGGCCACCTCCTCTGTGGAAGGAGCAAAGATGGGCATGAGCAAGAAGGGCAGGGTATAGGTTAGTCCTGACAGGAGCTTATACCTGAGGGAGGACTTAGGTCCTCCTTTGACTTGAAGGGTCTGTAGTTATGACAGGAACAAGGCATTCAGGAATTTTTCATTGAAAGAAAGCCATGAGAGAGGCTGAAACCCCACAGAAGGTTCCATTTCTAGACCAAAGAGAGATATTTCTTGAAAGGAAGTGGGCTTGGGATGGAGGCAAGTGTTCTTGCCACCGCTAGCAGTTTTTCTTTGGGTAAGTACCTTGCCTTTTGAGCTTCAGTTTTCCCATCAGTAACATGGAACAGGAAGTGTCTCACTCATAGAAATGTTATGAGGACTAAACGAGCTAATAGGTGTAAAGGTCTTGGTGCATAGAGGGTGGTCATAAGCGAGAGAGATCACGGTTATTTCTTCACATGAGAAGTGAATTGCCATCAGTATTTGAGTGGACCTGGCTTTGAGTGGGGTAGGGGCAGCTCTAGAGTAACTGGAAGAGCAGAAGACTTCTGCTCTAAGTGAGCCTTGAGCTGTGTGGAACCCTTAGCCCACGTCGTAACATTATGAACTTATTAATGACTTCATTCCCCATCCCTAGTCCTCGCCTCAACCCTGTCTGTATCCTTGCTCTTTCCCAGTCTGAGCTTGGTGACTACTCTGAAAAAAATTGATGGGACCACATTCCCTAACCACGCTAAATACAGGTCGCTGTGTCCCACACATCTGATGTAGTCCCTCATGCCAGAAAGGGGCCTTTCCTCAAGAACAAACCACAGAAGTGGCCCCCCTCTCTCCTTGAAGGGCCTTCCTGGTAAAGAGCTTCATGTCCTCCCTTGTAAAATAGACATTAAAGAGTGGTAATGACAAATATGAATCCTCAAGTTCATGATAACCAAAAATAAAGCGACAAGACCCATTTCACTGTCAAAGAACTTTATAGAACAGGTGGGACCAATATGGTGGATCCGAAGCTTGGGGTACTGTCCAGAGTTCTGAATTCCCCTAGAACTCAGTAATCCAGGACCAATGTCTGGCTGGGGTCTGGATGATGATGACAATGATGATGATGATGATGGTGGTGGTGGTGGTGGTAGTAGTGGTGGTGGTAGTGATGATAATGGTGCTGATGATTCCTGAGTTATTTGATTTATTTTATTGTTTTAATAACACATCAAATCCTTACCATGCACTGAGATTATTATAAGTGCCTTTAAAATATTAATTCACTTAATTTTCAAAAAATGCTAAAAAGGTACAATTATTATTATCTCCAGTTTAGGCATGGAGTAGTTCAGGAATTTTCCCAATGTCACTGTCTAAAGCCAGAATTGAAACCTAGATATACTATTTCAAGAGTCCTTAAATCTGCCCAGCCGGTGTCACTCAGTAGCTGAGCATTGACCCATGCACCAAGAGGTTGCTGGTTCAACTAGGTCAGGGCACATGCCCAGGTTGTGGGCCTGAACCCCAATGGGGGGCATGCTGGAGGCAACCAATTGATGTTTCTCTCTTATTTATGTTTCTATCACTCTCTCCCTTTCTCTCTAAAATCAATAAAATCATTTCTTAAAAGACCTATAATATAATCTTGTCCTCCCAAAGGCCTGCCATGAGCATCCTATATTGGCTTCCCAACATTCCAGCCAAGCACCACTTACACCCAGACAATTTATTCAGTCTAGTGTGTTCCATCTGGGCACCAGTGTACACCTCTTAGCAGGACTGGGCTCTAGGCAGAGGCCTGACCAGGTCCCAGTCCAGAGAGCACTACATGTGATCTGTGCTTTGCATACATCCCTAAGCTCTTCCTGTGTTTTCCCCCCCCTTAAATGGGATTAACAACTCCAGTTTTACAACTTTGTCTATCAAGATGCCATGAGGACAATGACATACTAAATTTGCAAAAGCTACACAAGCCAAAATGCTGTGAACAAACATCAGGTAGTATTACTCTGGGGGAATCAGGACACCAAGGGGTAAGAGCTCAGTTCAGTGTTATGTTGACTCTTTCCAATTCTCCTTGATATATGGCCTTTAACAATAGCGTAGCTTTCTGAGCCTCAGTTTTTCCATCTATAAAATGACATCCCAGTCATGGCAATGTCACAGGATTGCCGTGAGGCTTAAATGAGACAATGAAGGTAAAGTGTTTACACAATAACAACACAGCAGCGGGTATCAGCACATGAAGATGATGGTCCATCATCACCTCCACGCCAGAGGATGTGGTGTATGCCCCAACATTCCCCACAAATGCTGTGTTCTGCCCCTGTGACCCTGCCCCAGATCCAGAGGGGGTAATCAGCCTGTAGCCCACTGTGAGTGCCTCTGTCTCCTGGCCCTCTGTTGCCCACTTGTTCATTCGAGCATTCTTTCTACAGTGAGTGGACTCCCGAGTACCTACTGTGTGCAGTGTGACATGACCTCTACCCTATTTTATGAAGAAAATAAACACAAGACTAAATAACTCTGGTGCAGGAAGAGGAGCATGCTGCGGGTCCTGGTCCAGTGCCCGGTATGCAACAGGTGCTCAACAGGTGCTTACATATCCTAGCTCTTGTTTTTCCTACAATGTGTAAGCCCTATTCCTGGGGTGTGTCTGAGGCTGTCAGAACCGGAGGGTCTTCCCAGGCTCTGAGGTCGGAGCACACCCACTTCTGCACTATCCTCAGCTTCTTTCCTCCCTTCCTAGTTTTGTGAATGACCTGCCTCCATCTTTCCCTTTGGGTCTTTTGTCTTCTCGCCAACTCCCATCGTGTTCCTCTATGCTGGGCATCTCGTCCTGTCCCACTCAGAGCGGATCTTACCAGATCCTTCCATTGATCTCTGTGCCTCTCGGTCCTTGCATTTCTCTGTGCTTCTCAGGCTCACAGTGCTCTTGGCCCCATCTGTCCCTCTCGCTGGGTGGACCTCAGTCATGCTCCACACTCTTTGCTCTTCCTCTCTCTTTATCCCAGCATCTGTCCCTCTCTTCTCTCTGGGAAGATGTCTTTGTCTTGATCGCTCTCACTCTCTGGGTTTCTCTTTCTTTCTCTTGGTCCTGCCCCTCAGGACCTCTCTGCCCATGCAGGTCTATCCTGTTTTCTCTAGTCTGTCTCTCTCCTCCTGAATCACTGTCTCTCTTTCAATCCTCTCTGGTTCTCTGGTGTGTGTGTGTGTGTGTGTGTGTGTGTGTGTGTGTCCCTCTCTCTACCCCTCTCTGGTCTCTCTCTCTCTCTCTCTCTCTGCTTTCTCGTCTTTTCCCTGACTTCCTTACTCTCCCTACTTCTCCACCACATCTCTGTCTCTCCAGCTGCTCCCCACCCTCCCTTCTCTGTCCCCTGCTCTCAACACTCAGCCTTCAGATTCTCACTATATTCCCTGAGAGGCAGTGAGAACACACACACACACACACACACACACACACACACACACACACACACACGCAAACGATTGCTCCTTTCGGAGTCATTCAGGCAAATCAGAGCTCCAGGTCTCCGCTCTACTTCCCCTCACCACGGTACGTGCCTCCGCATCAGGGCCCACAGAGGCCACAAATGGCTTCTCTGGATAAATGTCCTGGTTATTGATTTTGCTTTTCGGCTTCTGGTGAGTGTTCCCTGCACACTAATTCTCATCCCTGGTGGCCTCCGGTGTGGACACAGCTTTTGCATCTATGTCGCTCCAACTGAGAGCCCAGTCCCTGCCCAGACTAGGTGTCAGGCTAAATCCCATCCAGAGGCACCACAACCCACCCTGGACCCCAGTCTGACTCCAACCCTGGCCAAAGCCTGGGTATACCCCTTTAAGCACAACCTCCGGGGCCGTAAGGAAAGCCTTTCCTGCTCGCAGGCCTGTTTCTGCTGGATCCAGGGGCCTTCAGAGCAGGCAACCTCCTTGCCCCACTCCAGGAAGAGGTCACCTCCGGCTCATGGGGCGAGGGTGTGTTACCTTTTGCAGTTGGTCTGTCCAACACCAAGCATCACCATGATGCCAGCTTTTCCGAGGACCTGGAGGTGCATTGCTCTGGGCCTCCGGGAGACAAGACCGCTACCCCTCCCTGAAGCTGTGACACCGACCATCCCCTCGCCCACAGCCATCACCCCTACTCTCTCCTCACTGCAGTTGAAAGGACCCAAATTCTGCCACCGTGAAGCTGAAGCTGCCTTTCGGAATATCGATTTTAAACTGTTAAGCAAAACTCAGACAGAACCTTCGGCCTACCCCCTTTCCTGCCCGAGAGATTCAGACAGACAAACCTGCTTCAGGAAGGAGAGTTTAGGGTGTCACCTTAGCCTAACTTGCATTAAGTATGGTAAACAGAGGGCCTGTTAGCTGGGTACCCCGTGTCCCATTATCTCTGAGTCATTTAGAAAGGCTGTGCCTGCCATGCACCTTCCATCCTCCTTCCACTCCCTGCAAATGGCCCATTCTGCTTCTGAGATCTATATCCTGTCCCCTCCCCCCAACCCACCCCCTCCAACCTTCTCCTTTGTCCAAACATGTCGTATGTGCCCAAGGTTGCCTTTCTGTCTTTGGAATTTTTATGGAATTATCTTGCCCATGTAAACTCCTCATGCACATGTTCTGAGGCTACTGGGTCAGGCCTGCTCTCCTACCCCCTCCTGGGGCACCGGACTGCCAACACTAAATGGGCACCCCTTGCTCCCTCTTGGCACACGAGCCATTCTGCTCATCCTTCCGGTAAAAGCTTTGCGCTGGCTGTTCCCACTGCCCAGAACACTGTTCCCCCAGATACTCATGTGGTTCATTTCTTGTTATTCAGTTCTCAGCTCAAGGTCATATGTGAAGGCTTCTTACCATCGCTGTGTCACATTTCCTTATCTTGTACTGGAGGGAGTTCCCCCATTTTTTACACAATATTACTGAGATGTAGTGATATTTAATCAAGTATACACATTTTTAAATGTACCATTTGAGGGAGCCCTCTCTATTATTTACTAGTTGGGATGCTGCCTAATTCAAATGAAAAGCAGAATGCACAACTTGATAATTTTTGACATGTGGACACACCTGTGAAACCGTCACCCCAATGGAGACAGTGAATATGTGTCCAGCCCTCTCAGCAGTTTTCTCCGGTCCCTTTTTAGCCCTCCTTCCTGCCCCAGGCAACCACTGATCTGCTCCTGTCACTACGGAGTTGTTTGCATTTTCTAGAGTTTTATATAAATGGAATCACACAATATGTACTCTTTCTCCATCTGACTCCTTTTACTCAGCTTGCTTATATTTGAGATTCGCCCACGTGATGCATGTATCCGTGGTTCATTCCCTCTTGCTGCCGAGTAGCATTTCATCGCATGAACGTTTATCTGTTCACCCCCCCCCCCCCGATGTACATTTGAGCTGTTTTTGGTTCAGAGCTATAACAAATGAAGCTGCTATGAACACTCATGGACATGTCCCAGGTGAAAGCTGCATTCTTTCCTCTTGGGTCAATTACCTAGGATTGGAAGGGCCGGCTCATGTGGCAGTTAACTTTGATTGACTTTTTAAGAAGCTGCAGTCCACTTTCTGAAATGGTTGCACCATTGTCTATTCCCATCATCAGAGTTTGAAAGTTCTGGTTCCTCCGTATCCTGTTCAGTTTTTTAAAATATTTTTTTATTGATTTCAGAGGGGGAGAGAGAGACAGAAACATCAATGATGAGAAAGAATCATTGATCTGCTGCCTCCTGCATGCCCCCTGTTGGAGGTCGAACCTACAACCTGAGGAATGTGTCCTGACTGGAAATCAAACCATGACCTTGTAATTTATAGGTTGATGCTCAGCTACTGAGCTACACCAGCTGGGCCTGATCAGTTGTTTTAATGAGCTGTTATAATAGGTATGTAGTGGTATCTCACGGTTTTAATTGCATTTGATGGCTAATGATGTTGAGCATATTTTAATTTTTTTGTCATTCATGCATATTTTTTGTGAGGTGTCTGTTCCTTTACGCTAATTTATTTATGCTAATTATCAATATAATTTGCATGCTTGTATATTGTCTTACCACCACTGCCCATCAACACTAAAGTGCAGGTTCCAGAAGGGCTGGGACAGGACGTACTTGCCCCTAGGTCCCCAACACCTGGAATCCTACCTGGTGCTTGATGAGCAGATACTCTATAAACTTGAAAGAGTGGATGAATGTGTCTGATTTCTGGCTCCTGTTCTCTCTGACTCTGTGGGAGCCTGAGCAGGTTGCCCAATTCTCTGGCTCCAGTTTCCCAGCCTGAAAACTGGGGATAGGCTGTCAAACTCAAAACCCCAAGGGTCCCCAGCTGTGAGATGGCCTAGGTTTCAGGCACATCCCCTCACTCTGCCCTCCAACCTTGGTGGACCAGGCCATGGCTCCCCAGATGTCCTTTCACTGTATGGACAGGACAGGGAGTGGCAGCTGGTCTGGTCTGGAGCCTGGACCCCATCAGCCACTCTGCAGCATCTAATCAGGGACATCAGCCACCCCCCTCCCCCGGCTTGCTTCCTTGACCCATACTCCTGCCTGACTAAGCCCAATCCCTCCTGTGCCTTTCATATACCACCAGAGGCCCAGAGCCTAAGAGCCTCCCCTCAGCTACTAGACCATGGGCTGTGAGGGTCTCTCATCCCACCTGGCAACCCAGCCCTGGGCCACGGGCTGGAGCTTAAGGAAGAAAGGAAGGGAAAAGCCCATATTTCAGGAATTAAGTCAAAGAAAAAGGCCTGACCTGGCCACTCAACTCCTGGGTTCCAACCCCTTCATCCCCATCCTGGTATGTGAACTTGGGAGGTCCCTTCCATGGTCGAGCCCCAGTTTCCCCATCATGCATTGAGAAGTAGGACATGGTGTCCCAGGGGCCTGTTCAGTGCTGACAACTGCCAGTACAGTCCCACTGGAGTGGGAAGGCTGAGGCAGGAGGATGCAGGGCCTGCTCAGCTGAGGACAGAGACCACCCCCTAGCTCAGGGTCAGGGCTCAGCCTGGCTGGAGAAAGGAGGCCAGGGAGGTGGCCCTTCAAGGAATGCCCAGGAAGCTGGACACCCATGGCCGGGCCCGTATGCCAAGAGAGCAGGCCAGGTGGGGCCTGGACCAGCTCCTGGGAGCAGAGAAGAAGAATGGCTTCACCCCCTATTGCCCTGAGCCAAGGAAACATGCAGAAGCCTTGTCCAGGGAGGCCACACGGAGCAGACAGGAAGTGGGCAGGTGGCAATCAGAACTAAAGAGGATTCCCTGACCTGTGGAGCAGGGCCTGTGGCTGAGGGCTAGGGATGCTCTGCAAGGGCGAGGGAAGAGGGAGCAGAGACATGAAGCTGGTGGGGAGTGCCGAGAGGTGGAGAACCAGCAAAGAGACAGAGTCTGGAATTCTGGGACAGTGAAGAGAAGGAAACACAGTGTGGGGAGTGAGAAGGAAGAGATGAAGGTGGAGGGGCCTCAGCCAAAAATGATTTGGCTCAGTGGATAGAGCATCAACCTGCAGACTGAAGGGTCCCAGGTTCAATTCCAGTCAAGGGCAATTACCTTGGTTGCTGGCACATCCCCAGTGGGGGGGGGGGGGTGCAGGAGGCAGCTGATCGATGCTTCTCTCTCATCGATGTTTCTATCTCTCTCCCTTCCTCTCTGTAAAAAATCAATAAAATATATTTTAAAGAAGAAGAAGAAGAAGAAGAAGAAGAAGAAGAAGAAGAAGAAGAAGAAGAAGAAGGAGGAGGAGGAGGAGGAGGAGGAGGAGGAGGAGGAGGAGGAGGAGGAGGAGGAGGAGGAGGAGGAGATGATGATGATGATGATGATGGAGGGGCCTCCAATAAGAGAGGGGTGAAAGATGAGGCCAATTTTGGAACCGCAGATTAGGCCGTGAGGTCCTGGGAGGGGAAGACTGGGACCTGAAGGAGGCAGTGGTCAGCAGGGAGGAGAGCAGACGTGTCCACAGCTGCTCACAGGGGAAGCAGGTGAGCAGGGCCCCTAGGGATGAAGGTGGTGTCTCTGCAGCAAGCCATCTTGTCATCTGGGAATGCTAGCCCTGAGGCACTCCCAAAATACTTTAAATAAATGTGCTCCACGCATCAAAATATTGAAGCCATTGTTGTCACACTGCAGCTCAGTTGCTATGGAGGGACTCGGCTCCAATGGGAGACAGGAAATGAGCCCCAAATGGGCTGGTTTAGAGTTGGCATCAGGCCCAGCATGAGGGAGGCTGGAGCCAGACAGCATCCCACCGCCCATCTGTGCTTCCCCAAAAATCACCTGGACCAGGTATTCTCCATTTCCGGAGACACAGAGCTATCAGGGAAACTGAGGCCCAGAGAAGGGAAAAGACTTGCCCAAGATCATCAGCGAGGCAATGGCATGGGTAAGCCCATGTCCCAAGTGTGCTGCTCTGGCCCAGATGTCTTCCCAGCACAGTGGCTTCTCCTTCAAGACCCCGTTTTGCCAGGCATTTCACCATTGGCTCTGTCTCCGAAGGAAGTTAACCCCCCAGGTACGGCGACTTCCCACAGTGGGCCAAGCCAGCCAGCTGAGAAGCGGGGACCCTCCTGGGCCAGAAAAGAGGCCCTTGTTCACTTCGCCCACTTACACACAGCACCGGTAAGCACTCCTGCGAGGGTCCTCTCTCTTGGATTCCTCTGAGCACTCCTGCGAGGGTCCTCTCTCCTGAATTCCAGACAGATGCCGCCTCCTTGGTCCTTATGCCTGCCCTCCAAGCCTTTGCTTAGGCCTATCCCTCTGCCTGAAGTGCCCACGCCATTCGGTACCCACTTATCCAGTTTCTACAGAGCTGCTTATTCTTCCATCCCCGCTTACAGAATGCCCCCGGCTATGTCCTGGGTGCTGGCCATGCACTCAGCCCTGGGTACACACCTGACATCCTGCCTGCCACCGTCTCTCCTCTGAACGGCTGCAACAGGCTCCTAACAGGCCCTGCCGCCATCACTGATCCCCTGCCATCCCTGGGCTAGCCCTATAAGCCACTTTCTGGATCTCAGGCAATGTCTTCTCTCTCTTCCCATGGCTCCCTACCTCCTTGCCGCGAGGACCCCCTCAGTTCCCCATCTTTCCTGCTTCAGCCTCATCATGCCTACCGTGTCCTGGCTAGAGACCCCTTGTCCCACTGATCACCTGGCCTCCTCCTTCCCTCGATTCTGCAGAGGATGTTAATGACCCCCCAACCCTAACCGAGTTAGCTGCCCCTGTCATCACTCTGAATGAACACCTGACACTTCCTCCTCAGTGGCATTAGTCCCCATTCTGATTGCCTTTCCCTTTGTGAAACTGTTCAATGTTTGCCTCTCACACTGGATGTAAGCTTGATGGGGGCATGGCCATGCCTATGAGTTTCCCACAGTATGGGGAGCCCCTCATCCTGGGATATCTGAGCGGCTCAGCAAGCATCTCAAAGTGAGTGAGCAAATGCTGAGCCCCAGCCCTCGGGGGGGGGGGGGGGAGGGCCAGACTGGGGGAGTATGAAGAGTGGAGCTGAGTGTCTGAGTGAGGAGAGAATCTAACCCCCAACAGGGATTCCTCCTTGGGGCTTCCAGAAAGATCAGCCAGCAATGATGGGAGGACACCGGTTCACTCACCTCTTGCATCAAAGAATTCATCATCCGAGCTCTCCACGGAGTCGCTGAGGACATTTCGAAGGTGCCAGGGGGCACCGCCGCCCGGGGTGGGGCCACCTGCCAAAGGGAACACACCTGTTAACCAAGCCTGAGGCCAGCGTGAAGGAGGTAAACCGGGAAGGCCCTGGAGCGAGGGCCCGTTGGCGTCCTGCATGTCCCTGCCCTCTCCCCGCGGGTGCTCAGACCTCACAGGGCCCTCCCACGGCTCACACCTTTCAGGTCAGTCCACACCTTTCAGACATAGCGCAGCGGGGCGACAAGTGTGCCCATCTTCTGTGCCCTCACACGGAGCCGGGGGCAGTTAGGAGAGGGTCAGGGTGACAGTGCATCAGGAAGCATAAGGAAACCAACGCTCTCAGCGGCTTAGGACAACCATGGCTCTTTTCTCACTCACACACACTGGCTGGAAGGGGCTTGTCCATGGTGGTCACCTGGTGATGCCATCGTCTCCAAAGGAGACCCCAAAGCCTGCTGAAGCCTGAGAGGAGAGCACAAAAAGTCACCCCAGTCATAGATGCTCCTTCCTGCAGGAGGCGCAGTGCTGCACGCACTTCATTGGCCGAAGCAAGTCAGTGGCCACGCCCAGCCTCAGGAGAGGGAGGCCAGGCCAGGCCAGGGCTGCAGCCTGGGGAGAGCCATTCCCGCACTAATGAAGAGGCCTGAGCTTGAGCTCTGCCCCGTCTCTGTCACATGCAAGCCTGTCCCTTTCCAGACGGCAGCCTCGGTTTCCGCATCTATAAAAAACTGGCAACAATCCTAAATTGCAACCATCGGAAATAGTGCGTGTGTATAGCCTGTATCTCAGGAGGCTCCATCATGGCAATTGCTGTTGTTCTTCATATCTACAGAGGCCAGAGCGAGGGCGGAGGAGATCTCTGAGCAGGGAGGAGCAAGGGCACACAGAGAATGTGGCCCCTTCCCTGAACTCGGCCCCTACCCCCCTCCAGCCCCAGAACCAGGGAGGGGAAAGCCAGCGGCAGAGCTGCAGGCAGGAGCCTCTGTCCCATCACCTGCCCCCGCCACAGGCACTTGGGGACTGGCATGCAACCAGCTGGTGCCCAGCGCAGCCTCGAACCTCTCCGCATGCTCTCTGGACACGTGAAATGCTGGGGGTTGCGGATGGAGTAAAATCTAATTGTAAAAATTAAAGCCATGAGCGTGTTGGAAGGAAATTGACCTGGTAATTTTCCTGAGGAAATCATTAGAGAAGTACACAAAGACGGAAGTACGCAGTTGATTGTCTCGGCGTTCTGGTAACCACAAAAAACTGGAAGACATGCCAGAGGGGACTGGACGTCCGTTCAAATGCCGTCATAGGAGAGTTCTTTGCAACGCTTCGAAAAATAAAGTCCCCCCCCCCCCCTTAGGTATTGACATGGAAAGATGCCCACGGGGTCTGGTTAGGAGAGAAAGATTGCAGGTGGATCCCAGAACCGTGGGTTCCTGTGGGCCTCACTTTGGAAAGACACACTCCTATCTGCACACTGAGGACAGGAGCAGCATGTTCATTAAGAGCTCGGGCCCTGAGGTTGAAGGGGCCTGGATGCAGGCTCAGGCCTCGCCTCTTGGAAACTGTGATGACAGGTAAGGCCCTTCATCTCTCTAGGCCTCAGTGTCCTCAGCTACAAAAAGAGGATAGCTCCTACCTGCCTCAGAAACCTGTTGTAAAGATTAATGAACATGCCCTGACCGGTGTGGCTCAGTGGATAGAGCATCGGCCTGCGGACTGAAGGGTCCCGGGTGCGATTCCAGTCAAGGACATGTACCTTGGTTGCGGGCACATCCCCAGTAGGGAGGTAAGCAGGAGGCAGCCGATCAATGTTTCTCTCTCATGGATGTTTCTAACTCTCTATCCCTCTCCCTTCTTCTCTATAAAAAAAAATAAAATATATATATTTTTTTTTAAAAAAAAGATTAACTAACATGCCTCGCAGTGCTTAGCATACAGGGCCTAGCAAACAGCAAGTGTTCTCAACAATAATTACTGTACAAACATACTTACAGATGCATTCACATGTCTGGAGGACATGCACCAAAAATGTCAATAGAGATTATCTCTTCTGAGTAGCATTTGATTAGAAGAGGCAGGGGAAACTCCGTTTTTACACCACACATGTCATTTTATATGATTATCGATTTTATGAATTCATCTTCTGTTATCAATTCTAAGGTGCACATTTTTCACACGTTATCATCTTTAAACTTGGGGTGCATCTTACACGAGGGTGTGTCATCATCGAGCAGGCCTTGTTCATTGTTCCTCAGGGACCTTATAAGCGGTGCATCTTATAATTGGTAGTATCTTAGATGCAACGAAAAGCAGTGAAACCCCAGGCACACAGCGTACATCTTCCCTGAGGCTACAGCCCCGGCCACCAAGCGCACGTGTCCTGTCTCCAGAGAGACCTAGGCTCCTGTATCAGTGAAGCCCCTGCCTCAGTTTCCTCATAGGTACACTGAGAACCTTGGCAGAGACAGTCCCTTGAAATTTTTTAACTCTGACTGATGTTTGAGGAGCCCACCTGGAACCATAACCATCTGGCATCCCAACCCCCACCACAGCTACAGTTCACATGATGATGAAGTCCTTGGAGAACCCACTGCGGCTTCCGCTCACCACGCCCTGTCGCCCTGCAGCCTGCCAGCACTGTTCATGCCCTGAGCCCAGATCTCAGAACATGAACTGCTCCTGAAGCAAGAGGCCAGCCCAGGTCAGCCCAGGGCCTCGGCCCTCCTGCCAGTCCCTCCTGCCCCACCCACCGCAAGCTGCCAAAACCGCACCCAGCGGGAACTCCATGGCTTGGGGCCAGGTAAAAGCATGTTCTGAGGCACAGAAAGGGCAGAAGCCACAGGGAACGCTGACCAGGAGTCACCTCTGAGTGCAAAGCCGGATCTTCCCCGTACTTCCCATGAGGACCCTCTAAGCTTTTGATTCTCACCCACCAGTGTGGACAGCTTGACAGGCTGGTCAGCAACTTCCTACCCTTGGGACCTGGATTTGCTGGAAGAGAGTTTGAGAATCCAGATGCACCGTAACTGAGTATTTCTAATGTGGTTATGGGGCTGTTTCCCAAACAAACGTGGAAGAGATCTGAGCTAGTGCAATTAGACAAGAACCAGAAATAATAAGTATATGTATATTGAAATAGAAAATAAAACTGCCTTTATTCTCAGGTGGCATAATAGTCCATGTAGAAGATTAAAAAAATCTACAACATCTATTTTAAAACCCTATTAAAACCAATCATTGAGTATAGCAAGATCCCAAGACACAAGATTGATAGGCAAAAGTCAGTTTCACTCCAATATCCCAATGAGCCATTAGAATTTGAAACTTAAAAACCAACACCATTTACAATAGCCCACAAAAATCAACAAAGTGAAAAGGAGTGTGAGATATAAATCAAATGTATGTGCAGGATTCTGTGACTCAAAAAATACAATCGTTTAAATGTAACTTCTTGCTGAAACCAGTTTGGCTCAGTGGATAGAGCGTCGGCCTGCAGACTGAAAGGTCCCAGGTTCGATTCCAGTCAAGGGCATGTACCTTGGTTGCGGGCACATACCCAGTGGGGGGGTGTGCAAGAGGCAGCTGATCGATGTTTCTCTCACATTGATGTTTCTAACTCTCATTCCCTCTTCCTTCCTCTCTGTGAAAAATCAATAAAATATAATTAATTAATTAATTAATTAATTAATGTAACTTCTTTCTAAATTTACATTTACATGTTTTCTCAAGCAACAGATACTAAAGGTATAAAAGCTATCACACATTCTTTAACACACAAATATCCCTTACTGTCCACATCTGCTCCGTTCCTATGAATCAAGAATCTGGAGGATCAGGACAGTCCCATTATCCTCACCTACTTGGCTCCTGAGTGCTGGGTGGAGAGCAGCAAGCGCTGAAGTGGTGACAGGTTCATCTGAAGGCTCTTCTGAGTCTATTTGGTCCCTGAGTTTGAAGAGCTAGGGTTCAGGGAGAAGTTCCTGGCTATGGTGACCCTCATACCTGTACAGTACACACTCCACCCACGAACAGAGAGGAGGGCATTCCTGCCAACCTCCCCCTCACAAACAGCATGTGCAAGACAGAACCTGAGGGAGAGAGGAGAGAAGCTCTCCCCCCACCGCATCCATCTCTCCAGGCCATTGTCCCAGGCCTCTGCAGCACTGGGGCCTGGGTGTTGCGCTGGCCACTATGGGCGTCCCAGCGGGAGGACCAGACAGGTGGAGGCTGCAGGGAGGCCAGTTCAGCTCGAACTGAAAGAGATGTTTGCCCGGCTAGCGGCTGACAAAGAGGGAAGGGTTTTGGAGTGTCAAAGGGATCTGCCCGTCACGCAGACGCTGTGCTAAGTTTGGGGAATGTTAGGGATAAAGTGGGGTCCTCACAAGGCATACCCTGCGGGGGTAGGGGGGTTGCTGGGGGAGGCAGACCTGAAGAAGGGACCCTCGAGGGTGATTTCAGCAGTAGAAAGTGCTATGAAGAAGAGAAAACCTCCCCCTTCTTGTCTCCACCCTGTCCTCCCTCAAGCCGAAGAGAAGGCCCTGTGAGCACGCGGGTCTGTACATCCGAGTGAGAAGGGGCAGTGAGCCCCAGGCATCAGCACAACACTCTCCTGCTTGCGTTACAAACGCTGGACTCACACGGTGCCTCCTTCCCGATGACCAGTCTCCTGACTGCTGACTCTTCTTTGTGCTCAAAATCTGCATGTGAATTCCTTTTCTCAAAAGCACCTTTTATCTTGCTTACTGCCATCCTCCTTGTTTTCAAAAGGCACTGGTTTTTATGTTATTTATTTGTTATTGTTAATCCTCACCCAAGGATATTTTTCCCATTGATTTTTCTTTTTAAGAGTGGAAGGGAGGGGCAAAGGGGGGGGGGGGAGAGAGAAACGTTGATGTGAAAGATGTGAGAGACATGGATGGGTCGCTTCCCACATGAGCCAGGCAGCAAACCTGTAACTAGGCACGTGCCCTTGACCGAGAACCCATAACCCTTCCATGTGTGGGCTAATGCCCTAACCACTGGGCACACCAACCAGGGAAAAAAGCAC